CCATTTTTCTCCACCCTCGACCGCCAGACATCACTTACGACCACGGCGCTTCAGTGGAATGACGTGTGCTCCGAGGTCAAAACTCTTTCCATCTCTTCTTCGTTCCTTTGTGTACACGATAAATTATTCCTACTATTATGGCTTCCATTGACTTCTCCTCTACTAAGTAATCAAGGTTAATTGTTAATTGTTAAGACCGTGAAATATGCATTCCAACAGTGTCGTAGTTGTCCGCTTAGTAATGCTCCTTATGAAGTATGCAATAAGGCTGTATACTGGAAAAAGTTCAGAACGCTAAATGGCACATTTTCCATATTATCACTGAATATATTATTTGCTCTTGTATGCAAAGATATTCGGTTTGAAAGCGCAATTGCAGGTGGAGTTCAACAGTATTCAGTAATTGAAAACTTTTTGAGAACCGAAGGACGGTTTTTTTCTTAGAGTGCAGAAGTTGGCAAAGACGCCATTTGCTACAAAACGAGTACAAGAAAGCCTACCCTCCTGCGTCGTTTCCATAAAACCTATATACATTAAGGAGAACATCACAAATAAAGGAAGGAGTTCATGCTACCCAAATACCGCGTAGGTGTTGAAAAAAAACTGAAAAGAAACGCACTTAAAGGCGGATACTTTGGCGGTTTAGGCGGCAGGAGTATCAATATTTCATATCGAAAATAAAATCTCGAACTTCGGTAAACATTTCATAAGATATGTCACCTACTGCACCTAACTTCTAAGCAGGTAGAGATACAAAAAGAGACAGAAGCGGCAGCTATGGCTAGAAAAGAAACGGGGTGATGCTCGAGGAGGCGTGAAAGAAATTAGTTGCGGTTGCAATGGGCCTTAAGGTTAAAATCTGCCACTCAAAAACAAAACAAGATTTATGCACAGTCCTCAGTTCCGAAGACTGGCTTTAAGCAGGTTTATTGGTCTGAGTCACGGTAATAAAAGCAACTACGCAAGCATCGCATAGAAGAGATGGGGAGAGGTCTACGGAGATTCAGAAGCAAATTATTTTGACTGATAAAGAAATCAGAAATTTCATTTAACTTAAACGATCAGGGAAACATTTAGAACACTGGGTTGACCAAGGGTCATGACGCTTCGGTGAAAACATTGGCCAGTGGAGTAGGTTCCTTTCTTCTTCTTGAATGCTTTAATAAACTAGTCTACACCGAAAAGTTGTTAAATTTCAGTCAGATCTTTTCGCTGGCCGATGAATTGAATACTACGTAATTTCTGTGCGGAAGATCCTCCCGGCAGTACTTTAAAGAGTTTGACAGATTTAAATAATTCAGTTGACCCAATTGGGAAGAACTCGCGGACTCGGTGGGAGGCTAACCCACACAGCAGGGAAGGCTTTTGCGCAGCCTAGTAGTGATTCTGGTAGATTCTGGATGATTGCTTAGTAATTCCTGCCCAGACAGTCAGCTTGCTGTATCCGCAATGGTGGATTCCATACGATCAGTAGGTTGGGCGGGTAAATCGACCCAAGTGTCATTAAATTCACGACCCACAATAAATCTCGAAACTCAATGGTAGGAGCTTTGGCTGCGCAAAAGACTTCTCTGTTGTGTGGGTTCAACTCCCACCGACGCCGCGATTTTTTCACAATTGAGTCAAATGAAAATAATAATTCATCTTTTACTAACTGTAGTTGTGATTTAAACCACTTGGGGAGCATCCGGGACCAACTGATGAGTTGAAAAACCTGCAGTCTTGTCGTACTGCGGCAGAAGGTAAGTAAAACTCGAGTCTAAGCAATATTCAACGGGCATGAAAGAAAGGCTTTGCCAGATTTTCAGGTAGTTCTCCATGATTGATTGAAGTGGAATCATAAGATAGAAGCCGAAAAAAACAATTCCCGTGAGTGCTGGGATCACCGGTGTTTTGTGGTCATTAGTGGACTTTCGGCATGCCCTGAAATTCTGCACAAGGGTCCACGCAAGCGATCGCATAGCAATATCCAGTCAGTAACCGAAAATTGTTACTGACAAAGAACATCAAAATGATCATCAAAATGACAGTCCCAGGCTTGTTTTACGTCACTAGAAGTGACCATTCCAGTCACGCTTGCGTTGGTCGGCAACTCTTTCCTACCCGAAATGCCTATTAAGACGGAGCCCCTAGAAGTTCAGTCAATAATTGCTGAATAATTTGTCAGGCGGTAGAATGCTAGCTATTCATTCAGATTGTCCACGGTGTAAGCCCGACTAACGGTAAGGAGCTTCTAGTTGAATGAGCCTTCTAGTCCCAGGCTTGTCCCCTTCTAAAGTATCAAATGCTACGTCATCCCAGCGGTTTAAAATCAGCACTGTTTCCGTCACAAAAGAACAAAATGAAGACTGAGACAGCCTGAAATTAAATTATTTCATAATGAGGGCTTCGACGCTCCTATAAAACATCGAGAGGAACAAGAACAATCGAGGAATACTAAGGCAGTCTAAGGGAGATCCGGCCAGCCAGCAAACAGACTAAAATTCAGAATTATCCGTGCGCAGAGTGTGAATAATTAACCAACTAACAATTACGAACATAGTCTAACTGCGAGCCACTATGTGCGTTCACGGGTGGTTGACCGCCCTTCAGCGACAGCTGGCTGAAAAATAGGCAAGTCCTCGGGTCCGACATGCGAGCAATCGTGCAGCATGCTACAGCGATATCTTCAGTCTTGGCTAGGCTTTGATCTGATAAGTCGTTTACATACAATGGGTTCAAAAAATCTACCGATTAGGTATGCTCATGTACCACTCCCACCTTCGGCAGGACAGGGAAATATAAACGCCC